ATTCAGAGCCTGTTGGTCTTTTGGGGACTCGCGATCTGGGTATTACAGATGCAGAGACCAAGGAGGAATATTCATCATCACTCACTCAGCCTGTTTTCTTTTTGCTGTCAAATCAACTAGATACTACTACCTAAGTAAAGTTAGCCCTGCCACATCCATCATCAGTCAAGAAAACAGCATACAAACTTGCCCACAGACTATTTTGGAGAGCCCATTTTATCAGCTAAAGTTCCTTTTTCCCAAATGATCCTGACTTATATCAAGTTAACATAAAGTGAGCCAGAACACACAGTTTAACAAAAAAATAACTACTTTTACAGAAGAGATTTGTTGAGCATGTTTTTGACATAAGACTAATAATGTAATAACAAAGTGGGAAGGAAAAAAGAAGAAAGGAATGATAAATGTGGTGGTTTATTTTTTATGTAGCACATTTTTATTTTTATTAATTACAGTTTATTCCCTTAGTGTCCTTCTGTAGTTCCCTCCTTACTCCCCTCCAAAATCCACCTTCTCTCCCCCTTCTCCACTCTTGCTCATTCAGCAGTCCACTGATAGGGGAGGACTTCCGCTCCTTCTTTCTGATCTTAGTCTATCAGATCACATCAGGAGTGGCTGCATTGTCCTCCACTGTGGCCTGGTAAGGCTGCTTCCCACTCAGGGGGAGGTGATCAAAGAGCAGGCCAATCAGTTCATCTCAGAGACAGGCCCAGTTTCCATTAATATGGAACCCACTTGGACACTGAACTCCCATGGGCTACATCTGTGCAGGGGTTCTAAGTTATATCCAAGAATGGTCCTTGGTTGGAGTATCAGTCTCAAAAAGACCTCTGTGCCCAGATTTGTTGTTTCTATTGCTCTCCCTGTAGAGGACCTGTCCTCTCCAGGTCTTACTCTCTCCTCTTTATTTCATAAGATTCAGTGCTCTCTGCCCAAAGTTTGGTTATAAGTCTCAGTATCTGCTTTGATACCCTGCAGTGTAGAGGCTTTCAGAGACCCTCTGCGGTAGTCTCCTGTCCTGTTCCCTGTTTTCTCCTTCTTCTGATGTCGATCCTCTTTGCCTTTATGAATGGGGATTAAGCATCTTACCCAGGGGCTTTCTTCTTAATTATCTTCTTTAGATATATGGATTTTAGTATGTTTATCCTATATTATACGACCAATATCCACTTTTAAGTGAGTATATACCCTGTGTGTCTTTATGTTTCTGGGATACCTTACTCAGGATGAACTTTTCCATTTTCCACCATTTGCCTGTAAATTTCATTATTTCTTTGCTTTTTATTGCAGATTAAAATTCCATTGTGTAGCTGCACCACAATTTATGTATCCATTACTCAACTGAGGGACATCTGGGTTGTTTCCAGCTTCTGGCTATTACAAATAAAGCTGCTACAAACATAGTTGAGTAAATGTCCTTGTTTTGTACTTGAACATCTTTTAGATATATGTCTAGGAGTTGTATAGCTGGATTTTGATGTAGCACTATTCCTAATTTTCTGAGAAAGCACAAGATTGATTTCCAAAGTGGTTGAACAAGTTTATATTACCTCCTGCAATGGAGGAGGGTTCCCCTTTCTCTACATCCTCTCCAGAATGTGTTGTCACTTGAGATTTTTTTTTTAATTCCATGATTTTTTTATTCAAGCTCTTGTTTTTATTTCTGTGAATTAAGAAAAGCATATGTCTGATCCTAGCTCATCAAGTGTCAGCAGGACTGCCTGGTTAGTCATATTCTGTGGCCTGTCAAGGCCAAGTACCTAGGGGGAGGTGATGAAAGAGCAGGCAATTAAGTTCATCTCGGTGACAGCCCTTAATTCCCTGACTTGGGATCCCACATGGTGACTGAGCTATGGTCTACATCTGAGCAGGGAGTCTATGTTATCTCTAGGCATGGACCTTAGTTTGTGCATCAATCTATGCAGTCCCCCCTGAGCCGAGATTTTTGGATCTGTTGATCTGCTTTTTTTAATTTTTTTTTTATTAATCCCCCCTGTAGCTCCCTCCCTCCGCCCCTCCCAAACCCTCCCTTCCTCCCCTTTCTCCACTCATGCCCTTCCCCATGTCCACTGATAGGGGAGGTCTTCTTTTCCTTCCTTCTGATCTTAGCCTATTAGGTCTCATCAGGAGTGGATGCACTGTCTTCCTCTGTGGCCTGGTAAGGCTGCTCCCCCCTCAAGGGGAGGTGATCAAAGAGCAGGCCAATTAGTTCATGTCAGAGATAGTCCTTGTTCCCATTACTATGGAACCTATTTGGAGACCAAACTGCCATGGGCTACACCTGTACAGGGGTTCTAGGTTATCTCCATGCATGCTAATTGATTGGAGTATCAGTCTCAGGAAAGAACCCTGTGCTCAGATTTTTTGGTTCTGTTGCTCTCCTTGTGGAGCTTCTGTCCTGTCCAGATCTTACTATTTCCCACTTCTTTCACAAGTTCTCTCCAAAGGTTGGCCTTAAGTCTCAGCATCTTAGTTGATAGCCTGCAGAACAGTCTTTCAGAGGCCCTCTGAGGCAGGCTCCTAACTTGTTCCCTGTTTTCTTCTTCTTCTGATGTCCATCCTCTTTGCCATTCTGGAAGGGGATTGAGCATTTTAGCCAGAGTTCTCCCTTTTGATTAGTTTCTTTAGGTGTACAGATTTTAGTTGGTTTATCTTATATTATATGTCTATATGAGTGAGTAT